AAAAATTTACTGTGCAGCCAAGTGACGGCCGTGCGTGACCCCAAGAGAACTGTTGTTGTTTGGGGTGATTGAAGGTTGAAATTGTTCAGATCTTTTGTGTGATTTTTTAAGATTGAATTGTTTGCAGTATGTTGGCTAGTGATTTTTTCTTCTTCTGATTATTGAGTAGTTCGCAGTGTGTTGGATAGCGTATATCTGATTATTTGGGCTATTTGTCTATTTATTGAACTTTTTAAAATGTAGGTAAGTACTACATAGATGTATCATTTTATAATTTGTAGAGAAATTTGTAAACCAATGAACTGTAGGCCATTGATCAAAAAATGGTAAAAAAGAAAAGAAAAGAATCTTGTACACTATGGTGTTGTCTCAATGAATTCAAATATTTGTTTAACACGATATTATTCAGTATAGTATCAGAGACTGAGGAAGAAAACAATTATGTAATATTAGCATGATATCAACGAATTAAGAACAAGCAAGCAAACAAAAACCAAAAATTCAAAACTACCCAAAAACCCTCTGTAGTAACGAGCACCCCCAATTAACATTGACATTCACACGCCCGCAGCATGTAATGGAGGTGGAAGATCGGTATCTAGTCTATGACGGAGACCTTGTGGAACTCAACCAGGACGACTACACAGCTATGCAGAGGGTCCACGCGTACCTGTTGAATGATTCCTTGATGATTGCGGCGTGGCTGAGCGACAGGTGAGATCTCTGTCCGTCTGTTAAGCTGATGGTTACAATTAACCGTGCTAAGAGATTGTGGTGATATAAGGAGATGGATTAGGGTGATATAAGAAAACAGGTTAGGGTGATATGGGAAGATAGGATGATACATGAATATGGGTTGGGTTACATTAAGGAGATGAACTAGAGTTGTATAAGGAGAAGGATGGGATGAAATAAATGGACTTAATATAGTTTTGTCATACCTGTTTACCTCGCTACATTATTTTGATTATCTGAGAAAGTAGTGTAGTAAAGGCATTAAATGTGTTTGATGTTATGGTTAGGGTTAAATAATCATTTGGCTTAGTACTATTGGTAACTAAATTCTTTGTAATATACATGCTATTATGTAGTGAATACTCTCTAAGAATATTGTTCATTTTTAGTACTATGTCAAGAAATGAAACAAAACAAAGAAAAAAAAAAAAAAAAAAAAGGAAGAAGAAGAAGAAAGAAAGAAAAGAAAGAAGGAAGGAAAAGCATGTAGAAGAAAAAGAAATAATCACGACTTGCCTTTCCTTGTAACAGGCGGGGTCCAGTGCGTTACAGGTTCGAGGTGCTCTACCCCCTAGACCAGGTCCTACCAGTCAACATCAAGGACCGCGGGACAACGAAGAATGCTTTCAAGGTCCTCATTTTCCCCGATACTCGAGTATTTATGGCCCCAGATGCTAAGTCAAAGGTGAGGCTTTAAATTCCATCACAGGAATGTAGTGTGTGTATGATGTAGTGTGAGAAAGTAGAGAGATTATTCCTGAAAGATTTTGGAGTATTATTTTAGTTTTGTAAGGTAAAGATGTGAGACAGCTTGCTAGTGTAAGCTATGTGAAGGACTAGATACAATATTAAGAATGATTGTAGAAAAGAATAAGAAAGAAAATCAGAAAGAGGGCAAAAATGAATGTAAGTTACATTGCTAATTCTTTCTTCTTTTTTTATATATATGTTTTTTTAGTTTTTTTTTTTTAGATTTTTTCTTTCTTTCTTTCTTTCTTTTCTTTTTATATATATATATATTTTAGGATTTTTTTCAGAATTTTCTTTCTTTCTTTCTGTCTTTCTTCATTTTTTTTCTTTTTTTAAATATATATTTTTTAGATTTTATTCTTTCTTTCTTTCCTTCCTTCTTTTTTTTATTTATTTATTTATTTAATTTTTTTTTTTCCAGATTTTGTTATTTGAATAATAGCTTCACACACTTTGCCTCTCTCTCTCTCTCCTCTAACAGCAAGACTGGCTAGATGAAATAGAGCGCACCAAGGCCAACAAGGTCACAGTCGACAAGCAGAAGGTGGAACGAGCTCAGCAGCAACAGAAGGAACGGCACCAGAGCCTAAGCAAGGAGGACTCGCTGGAAAGTAACAATCGTAGGTGTCACGCGCGCTCTTGCTTCCAGATTGGCACTTTCTCTTTCGGAGTTTAGCGTTTGTCTTCTGAACTTTTGCGAATATGGGGTTTAGTTTGTATTCATGATAATAATGTTGGTATTGAGGTAATGAGGAAATATTTTTTTGTTTGGTAGACACTGTCTGGGATTTCACGAAGGGAAATTCGTCTGGAATGTAAGTTAGGGTGGAGGTAGTAGATAATATGAATGAAGAATGTACAGTAAGTCCCCCAACTTAAGAACATAATGGGGACCGAGAGGCTGTTTGTAAGTTGATTTGTTTGTATGTCGAAAGTCGGATCTCCATTACCTTTTTTCCGACTGTTTTAAAGTTTTGTTTACATTAAGAATACCTGTAAATAAATCCCAATAAGT